CGCTATTTGGCTATTGTTAATTATTGTTTATTCATCGACTTTCGGTCGCACATAGATCTTGTACGTATTATGGGAGCTTATGGTAATCCAACTAGCTAACTAGATATGTTAGGATGTTCAGAGCGCACTGCTGTTTACGTTTATGGAGTCCAATCACAAGTAGCCAATGGCTTTGGGCATTTGAATACGGTCCACCCTAATGCACATACACCCATTTGTATATTTATCGACTTATTCTCAGCACACTTAAGTGTATAACCTTAAAACGATGTTAAGTGGGCAATTTTAACACTTCAATTGAACAGTTCTATGGTGCACGTCCACGACCATTGAATCCACATAGTTACACACATCGATTTCTTCTACATTTGTACTGTGTATCAGTGCCTATTTGCATACGAATCTACATAGACAACATCCACTTGCACTTCACACTGCGCATCTATCTATTTCACATTCAATGTCCTTCCGAGATACATCTGTGTAGATACATCTAACTACTAGCGGATCGCAAGAGAGCCGCGTGATGTGCGCCAGTGCAAAGCCGTTCTCGCACTGAGAACTCGATCTGCATTTCTACGGCTATTCGGATGCCATACCTATACCCATACCCATACCCATACCCACACCCATACCCGTACCCGTGCTCAATCCCATTCCCATTCCCATGGCATTTCCCATTCACAGCTTCAAAAATCGGTCGTTCTGCCGCAGCTTCACATTCGCTTCGAGCATCCAATAAAAAGCTCGAAACTTATTGACGTCGTCAGTAGCGACACACGAAGAAATTCAGGCAGACATTCGGCAACTAATAGGTTCAAAGTGCATAGTTAATTTGGCGTACTGTCAATTCGATGACGTCCCACTCAAATCAAATCTCACGAAATTCAATTGCTGAAGATCTTGCACTGACTTTCTCATTAAACCACTTTTACTGAACATTTGAATTGTTGCAAAAGGAAGTTCATTTCCAGAAAACTTGGGCTTATGTACTTTGGCAGTTGTTTATCTTTCAAGCAAACACAAGTTAATTATTGAAAAGTTAAATGTAGATAGATTACAAAATGAGTAAGTAAAGTACCACACAGAATTTTTGATTATGTGTCAAAACAAACCAATTTTAATTCATGAACATGGCACTTTTACGTACATCATAGGTTTCTGCTAAGTGGGCCGAACTGCTTATAAAAATTCCAATAAAAAATGTGAATTTTCATTTCTTCTTATTTTAAAAAGGTTATATTCTCCACATATTGTTTAAATAATATAATAGCGCAAAAGCCAACACACACGATGATCATAAAAGTCGGTCGCGCAATTTGAAAAGGATACAACCCAAATATTTTTAAAAACCAACCATTGGAGCAGATTAGAAACATGTTTGAATGACTCAGGATTTCAATCCACCCAGAGAACTGTGCGATGGAGTTCTAAGATAATAAAGTTGCAATCCACTTTATCTTAGCGACGCTATCTTTTTCCACTCGCATATCGACAAACGAGGTTGCTTTATAGCTGCTTATCTAATATATAGAAATTCGTTGACGGCTTTGGAGACACACGCACATAACCGAAGAAAACCTTAACACTGTTCACTGTTTGTTCCCGTCGGTATTACACAACATCATCGAGTGTCAATTTCTGAGGACTCACCCTTTTCTGAAAAAGTCTCTCGAAGAACTTGCCCATGATGATCCGTTGATTTTATCCACTGCGATGGGCCTAAATCCTTACGAGGTTCATGTACGATTGCTGGGTATTTGGGGACAATTTGGTGACACCGACGCAAAAGAATAACATAACTGACTAAAACTGACCGATTTCTGTATCTCTCTAAAATACTTCGCTATCACGAATTCGTCGTATTGCTTATCGGTAATAACAGTTTTTTTTCGTTTTTTTTTTTTTCTTTTTTCTTTTTTTCTTTTTTTGAAACCAATAGCCGACTAGCCAGGTAATCTCTCTGCTAGATTCCGACGAGTTAGGTATTTCCGATCAGTTTCTTATAGCCGAAGCGCGCACACTCTCGTTCAGGAAAGACCAATCCACTCCGAGGTGGAAGAAGTAGTGTTCCATCGAGTTAGCATGATTGTGGCACTCGGTACCTCATTGCTATGATGGGTGACACACTGCATTCGAGTTTTCCTTTTCCTTTACTTTCAGTTCACAACGCACAACGTGCACATTCATGGAGGCTCCGTCTCCCAAAACGTACTTGCCCAACTGACATCCGTGCCAGAGTAGCGGGTCCATAATCCCATATCCTCACCCAGTATACGGCGAAAGTATTCTCTTCATGGAGCAGCTACTCTGAAGCTCCATGGAGCAGCGATACCCACCCATATCTATCCGCCTGTATGTGGACTGCCAAAAAACTGATAAGATTATGGGTATATCTGGGTGCCGAGCACCTCAGCTGACTAATCGGCGCAATCGGTGCTCGGGGCACATTTGAGCGACATTTGGGTGGCGTGTTTCCCACTTGGCTTGGGCTCACTGTAGCCAGTGAGTATGTGTGTGTACACATATCCAGTCGTTCGTCACCAACCTGAAACTCGTATCCAAACGCAACAACTTCTCGTCACTTTATGGTCCATGAATTTCGATAAGAGCTACGAATTTCGACGACTACCAGGGGAGTAGTTTTTATCACAAGGCTTGATCGCCTTAAACGCCACAAGCACTGGCGAAAGATAGCTTTACTGCCTCGTAATTCACCAGTTAATTAGCGTATTATGTCTTGGGTATCCAGGATGGATTTGTATCATTTGTGTTACTCAACTATCGACAGCTAAAACCACATGAAGCTTTGCAAATTGGTTGCGGTATGTACAAGTATTCGAACGCCAGGATGTGTATTATGCGATATTTTTGCGATGGGCAAACCTACCATGTTTCTGGTGACTAAAATGAGTTTGAAGTGCTGAGTCGATCTGCGCCCGAGGTCCTCTAGCCAAACAAACGGGTAAAAACAGCGCGCTTTACGGGCGCAATAAAATGTATAAGACCAGATATAATATATGTACACTACTGTATATATACATATATGTGCATATATAGATTATTGTACACCGATTCGAGTGGAAAGAGAGACCTTCCACGCGCAAACTGATCTATCGGCAAACTGTCGAAGAATTGTTGATACCGATACCACTAACAAAGTCGCCATGCATATGTATGGGCCGGCCTGACGGACCTCTGCATGCCTGTTCATATATAGTATACGTACGCACTTACTTGTTCCCATAGCCAAACCCATGCCGTACCCATATCGCACCGAACCGGGACTTTCCAACTTTCAGACATCCCCAAACCAGCCAATTGTTGGTAGTCCATGCTGGACCATACCATCCTCAAAAGGAACTCTCTTAGCTGCGTTTATTCATCTGTGTTTTCCTTTTTGGATCGGGACAGTTCTGTGGCGCTCTCGCGAGCGAATAAGCCCGCGGTTTTGCCATTAGTCGAAGTGATAATGTCGATAGCAGTATCTTATCGCTCAGCATTGAACGCACTCCACACACGAACACATGGATATGTCGGGGCTTACGGACAAGCCTACCAAAAACCGTGCAACTTCCACCTTGACTCATCCCGCTGAGCACGTCTGCATCGTCGCTGGAACGCGAATGTCCCATGACCGATGAACCTTGTCGCTGGCCTCACGGTGAGTCACAGGTGGGATTAACATAAACATTGCCTAGCAGAGATAGCCAGAACTATTAAAGCCCTTTCTGTGCCTCAAATTGGTTTTAGATTGCATTTCCGAGGTCTTGTTCAGGGAATACTGTAAATACAGCGAGCAAACAAGGCTAGATCTGGATAAGCCCACATGGCGGATGAGTAATATTTGAAACATATCTAATTCGAACATGTTCGTTCCAACATTTTCAATGCTTTCCCCATTTAGCACTTAATATGGAGTCAAAACTTACGAGCAATGCCAATTTTAAGTGTATTTCGAATTTGTTAAACTGTTGGTTTTTATAAGAACTGCAATGAAATAATAATGCAAATTGTTTATGCTGTAGCTTTGCCCGAGGTGGTAACCCATTTCAACTTTAGCAAAAGCTTTATGTCGTTAGCTTTTAAGCTGATCGAGAACCGCACCGGCCCTCATCTCTTCACACTGAGAAAAATGTTTTGTATAGATTATGATCACCATTGCGTATAATTTACAATCTATTTTCGGTTTTAAAGTACTTACTTTCAGTTAATTGCATTTTATACCCTTTAGCTCTATGAGTAAAGGGTATACTAGATTCCTTTTTATTAGTCTTGTAAATTTCTTTCGATTTGCCAAAAATAGTCTTACCACACCCACTCAACTGCCCACAAACTGCCCAAAACTGCCACGCCCACACTTTTGAACAATTTTTAGCGATATTCCAGAAAATTGTGAAATTTCTCTTTCGCACTTCCACTAGCTGAGTAACGGGTATCTGATAGTCGTGGAAGTCTAGCATTCCCTCTTTTTTGTAATTTCTTTGATGTTATGATGTTATCAAAAATTAAGAAATGCCCCAAGGCTGAAGTTCTAAGCTCCATAGAAACAAGTGTTTCCGTTTGGGTGGGGAAGATATTTAATAACCATAAGTTATTAGAGGGTATCGCCTAGGCGAGCCCATGATTTATTAGGGATGCACAGAAGCAGGGAGTCCAGAGCTCAAAGACCTTCAGGTATTTTTGAAAACAGTCCAAGTGCCACGGCCATAATCGAAGATTCGCTGATTAGAACGGAGATTAGGGTAGTGTGTAAACCGATATCAGCTGGATTAGATATTCGAAATTAGGAAAGCCGATAGTACTAATCAGTTAAGGAAAAGCGCTAGCACAATTGGTGTGAAGTAATCTTTGCATGTTCGAAGACATGGCAGCAAATATTAAAATTAAATGTTATTACCAATCTGACATGACATGAGTGCATCTAATCTGGGCAGCCAGAGTGCCTAATAGCCGCAACTTTGGTTGGACTAATCTGTCATCAGCCAAACGTCGGAAATACGAATTCCTTCTCTTCACTGGGACACCCATTGTGACAGGGCCACTTGTATATAAGCGGGGAATGGAACACTATCTCGCGCATACGTTAATTTATGTGGCTAATTCCGTTGGCCAACTTCAGTTCAGTCTAACTTCTGCTCCGAAAGCCACCACTCCTTCGATCGATTCGCAGCTAAATGAGCATCTGAATGGGCATTTTTACACAGAATAGAGTCCATTAAACACTGGTAGAAATGGGAGCCGGGCAGAAAGAGTGTGCGGATCCACTGCGGATTAGGATCGGCGGCATCGAGGGTGGCCAACAGAAGCCCCTCAACCGGGTGACAACCACCAAGTACACTTGGTTCACATTCCTGCCCATCAATTTCTATCAGCAGTTTAGGCGGGCCGTCTACTTTTACTTTCTGATCATCACAATTGTATCGTTTTTCGTAAGTAAGTACGGCTGCTGTTCAAAAACGGGGTCAATCCAATCATTCAATGGTCAATCCCCCCACAACTAGACGAAACAATATCGCCACTGGTGTTCCTGCTGCCCCTGCTCTTTGTCATGGCCATAACGGCGCTGAAAGAGGGATTGGAGGACTATTCAAGATCGAAAAGCGATAAACTGGTCAATACAGCGAGAGGTAAGGCAATCTAAGGGGCCTTGGGATAGTATAGTATCTGGAAAATAGTACACTGACCTTCATATGCAGTAACTGTCATAAGGAACGGCAAGGAGGAAACCATCAACTCGCAGTTTGTTGTGCCAGGCGATCTCGTGGTGGTGCGAAACGACGGCGATGTGCCCTGTGACCTGGTGCTGCTGCAATCGTCTAGTGCGGATCGCAGGTGCTTCGTGACCACAGCCAATTTGGATGGAGAGACCAATTTGAAGACCATCTGCGTGCCGCCAAACTATGTGCTTTCCGCCGAAGATCATGAGCTGCGGGTCAGGGATTTCATTGTCTGCGAGCCTTCTACCGCCGATCTCTACAGCTTTAATGGCCGCCTGGAGCTGAGGTCAGGGAACGAGGCTGAAGGCTCCAGCGGTGGTGACGCCCTGCCCCTGACCATTGATAACCTGCTCCTGCGCGGAGTCCGAGTCAAAAGCACCGAGCGGGTGGTTGGCTGTGCCATCTACACCGGCATGCACACCAAGTTGCAGCTGAATAGCCGCTACACCGGCACCAAGTCGGCATCCAGCGAGAAGTACATCAACAAGTTCATGGTGGCCCTCATCGTGGGAATGGTCGTGGTGGTGGTGGTCTTGTATCTCATCGAACGGTGGGTGCTGCAGAGATATGCGAGTATTAATAAGGGATCATATAATATTTTTGAACACATATTTGCAGTCACAGGGAGGCGAAGATTGCGCCAACCATGCCCTACCTGGGTCCACCAATCGACCTCAATTCCGCGTGGGAAATCTTCGAGGACGTGCTCTCCTTTCTGCTGCTCTTCAATTACATGGTGCCCATTTCCGCCTATATGAACATCGAAGTGTATCGCATCTACGGCATGCACTTCATGCACAATGATCTCCATCTGTACGATGAGGAAACCGATCAGCCTTGCCGGGTCAACGCGTCCAATCTGAACGAGGAACTGGGCCAGGTCAACATCCTGTTCTCCGACAAAACAGGCACACTCACCAAGAACCTTATGAAATTCATCAAATGCTATGTGCCAGCTGTTAACTATGAGCTCCAAAGTACCCACCTTGTTTCTGAGGCCACCGGTGAGCAGTTCGAACTGGGAAATCTCGATGTAAGTACTACCTTTCCACCATTTCCGCCAAAAATAAAACGTTTCACCTTGCCCAAGGCCAATGCAGCACTCCTTTTCGAGGCACTGGCCGTGTGTCATACGGTGGAAGTGCTCCAGGAAGTGGGCGAGAAGACTCTGGAGTCGTCGGACTCACCGGACTCCGTGTCGGAGCAAAGTCGCTTGATGAGCAGGAACATTGTTGAGCGCTATCAGGCGTCCAGTCCGGACGAGAAGGCTCTTCTCGAGGGCTGCGCCAGTCTGGGTCTAGTGTACGAGGGTCAGGAGGACGATGTCCTACGCATCTGCCGGTATCCAAGCGCCGAAAGGATGCAGTTCAAAAGACTGCACGTGCTGGAGTTCAGTTCGGAGCGACAGCGGATGAGCGTCATTGTCCGAGATCAGAGCGGCGTAATCTGGCTATATTCCAAGGGAGCGGAAAGCACCATCTTTTCACGCTGCAAGGCGAGTCCTCTTGTGCAGCAGACGGACGCGCAGATAACGAAATATGCCCAGAACGGCCTGCGCACCATGGCGGTGGCACGACGCCGGCTGACCGATGAAGAGTTGTCCCATTTCGAGGAGCTCTACCGGAATGCCAACACCCAGTTGAGCAACAGGAACGAACTGATATCAGAATGCTACGAGGCAGTCGAGAATGGTAAGCAGAAAGTTGCTTACCACTTGCGGTGCACTAAACAGCTAAGAACTCTTAACGTTTCACAGAGCTGGACCTTCTGGGCGCCACTGCCTTGGAAGACGCACTGCAGGAGCACGTGGGCGAGACGCTAGAGGCCCTGCAAGCGGCTGGTCTGAAGATCTGGGTGCTCACCGGCGACAAAGTGGAGACGGCCTACAACATTGGACTGGCCTGCCGCCATATACCGCCCGGATCGAAGCAGCACTTTATCATCAACACGACTGAGCCAGCAGAGCTCCTTGCCCGCTTGCAGATGATTGGCGCTGACGATCCGGAGGTGCTGATAGTAGATGGAACTACCATAGCCGCCCTGCTGGCGCACACACCTCATCAGTTCGCCGACCTTGCCCTACGCTGCCGAGCGGTACTTTGTTGCCGACTTAGTCCGCTGCAAAAGTGCGAGATTGTCACGCTGATCAAGCGGCGCAAGAAGCACATTACGGCCGCGATTGGCGACGGCGCCAACGATGTGTCCATGATCCAGGAGGCGCACATCGGCATTGGGATCACGGGTCGCGAGGGAAAGCAAGCCGCCCGCTGCGCCGACTTTGCGATTGCCCGCTTTGAAATGCTGCGCCGCCTGCTCCTCGTCCACGGGCACTACAACTCCCAGCGGCTGGCCTTCCTGGTGCTCTTCTACTGCTACAAGAACGTAATCATCACTGGGTGCATGGCTCTCTACCAGGTCTACGACCTGTACTCCGCCACCAACATCTACAATTCGATCTATCTTTGGCTCTTCGACATCGTCTACATCTCGTTCAGCTTCACGGTCGTGGCCATTTGGGATAAGGACTACAGTGAGGAGACGCTGCTCAGGTAAGGAAGCAAAGCTGAATGGCATCCTATTTACCTGGTACACTTCCATTTCAGTCATCCTGAGCTATACAAGCCTCTAGCCCACAACAGACAGGCCTCAATGGGGGTTTTCAGTCTGTGGATGCTCAACGGATTTGTCCAGTGCTTCACAATCTTCTATTTCACCTACGCCATGCTCAACGACGCGAATGTGCTCTTCAATGGCGGGCAGACCGCCAGTTTCCAGACCTTTGGCACCATGCTCATCACCATCATCGTGATTGTGGGCAATCTGAAGCTGCTTCTGGTGGCCCGCTACATGACCTATCGCAACTTCGCCATGATCCTCGCCTCCATCGCCGCCTTCATGCTGACCACGTACCTCTACAACCTGGACACCAGCAGCGAGCTCCACGACGTCTACAACCAGTTCCTCAGCTCGCTTCCCATCTGGCTGTTCACGATAATTTGCTCGGCAGCCTGCCTGCTGCCCGACTTGGTCACCAGGGTCGTTAGTGACATGTCCAGAAACGTGCCACCAACCAAGAGCAAGCCAGTAGTCTAAGTACACTTACAATGATTTAATAGAGTAGGCGATGATCACATTTCATGATGGTTTCCGGCGCGGTGTATTGTACAAAACAACTAACGGGGTGTATTTAGTTATTAATTTGAGTAACAGAACGAATTATTGTCAAATGCACCAGCATCTACATAATATACCTGGACCTAACAACTAACAGTGGAGCAAAGTATTATCCCCGTCTTGTATAAATTCAATCTGAATTATATATACATTATGTATAAAAAGAATCCGTGGAGTGCCAGATTGTTGGTGCGCTCAAAGAAACGCTCCCCAGCCAATGTACATGACAGCCAAGTTGTCCACCTTGGTGGCCTCGTTTATGAGGAAGTTCACCTGTCCTTCGGTGGAAAGAGGAATGCTGTTCGCCTGCTGCCGTTTAACCTGGAAAAGCAAAGCATTCATTGGGTGGAACAACATAGCTTGGGAATAGCCACAAGGTTCTGTACGTACATGTCCTTGGAGGCGGTCGGCGATGCGCTGCACATCCTTCGTTATTTTGGCGGTGGCGGCGCCATTCCGCGTCTGTGCGCCCACATCGTAGACAAAGGGCCGCAGGATGGACATCAGGGTCTTGGTCTCCTGCTTCAGCAGACGCAGCGTGATCTCGCAGCACTTGCGGTAGCTGCCCTCCACGCCCAGCGGACCCATGGCGACGATCATGTTCTGTGTGAGGCGGAAGGGCACCACCTCGGGATAGGTCAGCAGTTCGCCCTGATTGAACAGGCAATTGAAGTCCACGTGGACAGCGTCGCCGTTGCCCTCGGCGAACAGGATGTTCTCGCCGTGGCGATCGCCAAGACCGAGTATATATCCTACCATGGACATGACGGCCACGGTACGAATGTAGGTATTCCTCGCCTCGTACCAACTGTGCGGAGTGGCAAAGCGTTGGCGCAGCCACTCCTGGAAGACCGGCGGATGGGCAGGCACCAGCTGCTTGGTAAAGACCTCGCGCTTGCGCTCGATCGATTCGTGGAGCGGCACAGCCAGACTCTGCAAGTGTCGGGTGGACATCATCTGCCTTCGCTGCGCATACAGGCCCATACATATGCTTCGGTATGATGCCAGATTGGGCAGCCACTCGACCAGGCCGCACTCCTCGTTAAACGGCAGCACGGCATATGTGCGGATGTAGAGCCGCCGCTGCCTGGCCGGAGCGTCCTGATGCAGATATCGTTTGACCAGGCCATTGAACTCCATCAAGCGAGCATCTCGACGCAAATCGTCCTTGGGCTTCACCAGGACATCGTAGTCCCTACCATCGCTGCAGCGAATGGTCAGCTTCTTGGGCTTCGCTGCCGAGCGCAGGATTAGCACAGACTCCTGGAAGCCGCTGATGTAGATCTGCTGGTAGGGAAACCAGTTGGCAGTCAATGTGCCTGCCGGAGGATGCGGCACCGCAGTTGAATTGGAGTCTGAATTTAGTGGCAGGGTGGGCTGCATGTACTTCTCAAACGGCAGCAGTATATTGGAAAACTCTGGCTGCTTGCACAGTTTAGAGAGGCGTGTGTCCAGGTCACTCAGCTTGTACGTGCGGTCCAGGGCCACCTCCTTGTTGGTAAGATCCATAAGCCGCTCTGTGAGCGAGTTAAAGTCTTGCAGCAGCTTTTGGAAAGTGGCATTCTGCAGGCGGCTGTCGGTGAGCACTAGCTTGCAGCGCTTGATCCTGTGCGCCTTGGCCGACTTGAAGTGCGGCAGGAGCATCCACAGCGACTGCTGCGGATACGCCTCCACCAGTTTGACTATCACATTACGGAGCACAGTGAACACATCGTTCACTGGGTGACAGAGGCGACTGAGCATCTGAGAGTACACCGTGTAGAACACCGCCGTGGGCAGGGCGGTGCAGCAGTTCGTCAGCAAGTCGTTCATCTTCTTCACCTGCTCGGCGTTAGTGGAGCTTTCGGTGGTGTCCAGCCAGAGGCTGATCAGTCGAGGCATCGACTGGTAGACATGCTCGCTGCCGTAGCGCAGGGACTTGGCATAGTTGACCATCACATTGATGAGCATATCGTCCTGCTCGCCAGTGTGCTCCGCCTTACCACCCTGCCTGGCCTCGAGTATCTTCTCCAAAAACTCCGCCATCTGCACGTGACAGCTCTCCGATTGCCGGTGCACAGCAATGGCCTCTTGGAAGTACTTCAGTACGGCATCCGCGCACAGGTGCATAGACTCGGCGCTGTATACCGCCTGCAAGTACTTTCCGCGAAAGAAGAGATGTCGTTGCTCCGGCGCCAGCTGCTTCACGTTGCCCTGGCAGCCCAATCGCATGAGGGACAGCTGTTCCTCCAGATAGTTCATGGCCATCACCTGATCGCCCTTTTGCCACAGGAGCTTAGCTCGCTCGATGAAGAGGCCCGTCGGCTGGTATTCCGCCGCCTTGAGTATGTAAAGCTGAGCACGCTGCAGTTGGCCGGCATTGCGATTGATTTGGGCACTGTTGAGCCAGATTCTGGCCAGCTCCGTCTTGAGATGGGGCAGCAAATGGGTGCGATCTGTCAGGCGGCGTTGAAGCTCAGCGAGTATATTTCGCCGAAAGCTGTATATAGACTCCTGGACGCGGACTTGCGGTTGAATAACCTGCAGGCGATACTGCCAGTCCTCGAAGTAGCTCTTCATTAGCTTCTCCTGGCTGTCCCGATCCCGATCCTGTTCGAGCTTCTCCACCAGCTCCTGGCTGCAGTGCAGTTCGTGTATCAAGTAAAGTTTCAGCACGGCATCGTATGCATTGGCATATGAGTGCTGCTGAACAGCCGAGCAGCTGCGCAGCTCCTCCAGCACCGATTCGCGCATCCCGTCCAGCAACGAGTCGAATTCGGTGCGCGTGGTAAGTGGCCTGCGCAGCTTTAGACAGCCTTGCGAGCACTGAGCTGGCCAGTTGGACTGCAGCTCCTCCAGCTCATCATAGCTGCCCAGGCGCCAGAGTAACTCTGACTTGCACTCGGCGAAGCACTGATCGGAATACTGATCGGACAGTCGCTGCCAAAGCCCGTCGGCGATTAGCTGCGCTGTCTTCGGGGTGTCCCTCAAATATGCATCGATCATGGCGCGTACGTGATCCGGCTGCATCTGGTCCGTGCTGGAGAGCAGCTGCTCGTAGGAGGTGATCATGTCCTGCTGCCGCTCCACCAGTCGATTGACGAGAATGTCTTGGGTCACGCTCATGTCATAGCTGCGAACCTGCACGGCTCCCTCCACAGAATCGGGGTCTCTGAGTGAGCCGTACACTTCAACGAGGAATGTGAATTGTTCCAACAACCTTTTCGATTTGTCCTCGCCCTCCTCCAGATAGCTCTCCAGGTAGCTAAGAGCACGAGCGTATTCGCCGCAATTGTAGCTGGCGCGAGATACCAACAGCTTGGGTATCAGATTGAGAAACTCATGGATCTTTCTGTAGTTGGGATCTATCGTCTCTGGTGGCTTTCCGCCTGTGCTCCGGCCGTGAATTCTCTGCCACTCCCTTAGCCAGCGCTGCAGGAAATCCAAGAGTTCTGCGCACAGCTTGCCAGCCAGGCGAGGAACACGGCTGGAATCTTCCTTTCGCTCCGAAACCAAACTGCTCGCCAGTGGCTTGATTCCCGCGGCGTACTTTTTAGACTCGAATTGTTTGAAGGCATTTTCCTTAATGGCCCCAAGCTCCTGGCGGCCCTTGACTGAGCTCGAGCTTTCCTCGTTGGCTTGCAGAACTGCCATGAACTCCTCCTGGATGTGACTCCTCTGCTCCGTCGTGCACTCAATCAGTGCGTGCAACAGAATGTACGGGTAGAATGTGCTTAGCATATTACTATCCCGCTTGATGCACGGCTTGTAGGAGCTGAGCAGATGCCGCGTATCGGAGGAGGGGATGTAGTCGATCAATCGGCTTGCCCAGAGAAAGGCCCATTCCTCATAAAAGTTGTGAGAGTAGTGGCTCCCAAAAAGCGGCTGCTGCAGGCATGTGCTAGGCCGGTGGACACAGGTGTAGCAGGAATGAAGCATCGGTTCCATTACCTGACGCATTCGTGCTGGCAGCGATTGCCACAGCTGCACCTTCTTGTGTTCCTTGGGCGAGATGCCACAAATGGCTAGCGTCTCCTGAATGGCCAGCGAAAAGCTATCCACATGCTTCGTCTTCTGCTGGAACTGATAGCCACGGCACAGCGAAGTCAGCGCCAAAACCGCAAAGTCATCTGACAAAATGTTGAGCGGCAACTGCTGCGGACTAGCGAAATTGTAGTTCGAGGGCAGGTAACTTGCATCGATGGCACCCAGTTCTCCGAGGCACTTGGCCGATGCCATTTGCAGTTGACTGTCATCGTGCTGGCAGCCGGCCATTAGGACATTCACAATCTGCTCCAGCAGAGGCTCCAGTGGAAGTTCACTGAGAATCGTACTGTTTAGCTGGGGTCGTCGCCTACCGAACAGTTCGCCAAGATGTTGGAGGGCATAGACGCGCACCTGGAGACATTCGTCGGTAATGTGATTTTGCAGGAAACGCAATTGGTCCACCAGTGGCGGCGACTGGCCCTCCTCCTCCGCCAATCCCTTTAGGTCTAGGTGTGCCGTATGCCTTCTGATACATTTTTGAATGGAGGGCGCAACATTCTCCATGCGATCTAGGAAGTACAGATCTGTTATAAAGGTGCCCAGCATGGATGCATTGCGCAGGATTATAAATTCATACAGATCGTTGACCTGCTTCACGCTCTCGTTGTCCGAAAGCAGCGGCTGCAGGGTGGCCACAATTCTTCCCAACGAGGGTCCCAGCTCCTGCACATTTACAACATGCAGAAATATGTGCCAGATCTTCAGACAAATGCGCTGGAGCCGCGGCTCCTGCAGGGTGTGAACGAAACTCAGCATGGCAATGATTTTGAATCGAAACTGGGTGACATGCTGGGAGCCCACGAATCGCATTATCTGGCCCAAGCTGTACAAAGTCTCCTCCTTCAGTGGCTTTTCAAAAGACGGTTCACTAAGGCAACTCTCAAAATAGGTGATCACACCAAGGAATCGCTCAGCAATGAAGTTCGCGAACTCTGCATTGGCCGTTTGACTTGACAACTCCTCCACGGAACCGATTGATAATTGCAAGAGGCTTTGGAAGGATCGCATCACGAATGTGGGATTCCTGTTGAAGTAAATAAGCAACTCGGCCACCGTTTGCTACAGGGAATAACAAAATAAAATAAAAGAAAACCAATAAAATAAAATGTAAATTAGATTCTGCCAACCTTAACATCTGCATTCATTAGCTGTTGCAAGCTGGATTGGGTGCAACTGACCACCAGCTCAATGCAACTGTTGGCCAGCTCCGGTTCTTCGGTCAGGAAGACGTGCGTGTAGATCCGCAAGAACGAGATGGAGAACAAGGTGCCAATGTGTTTCTGCATTTGCTTGGCTATCAATACCAAAACTCCCTTGCAACGCGGATTCACGATGCAATGCGGCAGGACCATGGCGGTCAGAAGGCGATGATACTTGCAGGTGAACTCCTGAACACACGTGAATCCCAACATTTTCGTAAGCTGCCAACACAGACCGGTCAAATTTGGTGGTGAAGAGTTCAGCTAATTACTTACCGCTCTGAGGGATCGAGTGAAGCGTACGCCATCCGAAAGATATACGTTCAAAGCCAGGCGAACGGCGAGGTCGAGAGCATCTCGCTTGTACCAGTTCCATAGGTGAATCGTCTGCAGGCCCTGGCTGGCACACATCTCGGTGGCCGCCAGCACAGCTTCTTGTGCCACCAGTGAGCGAGTGTGCACCAGAAAGAAGAACGTCATCTTGAACCAATGAAAGAGCCAGATTTCATCGTCCTCCATGTGAGCAATAGCGGTCAGTACGTTGAGCATACGTCTTTGCTGCAGTACACTTTGCTCTGCTAGCGGCTGTGCGAGCATTGCTTTAATAGCAGCTAGGATGAGGTTGGCAAATTTCTCCAGGAATTCTGACGAACGCGCACGCATCGCAGAGACCAACAAGCCGATAACCCTAACGTTTACCTTTTGCAAGGCCTCCGATTCTGTAAACAGACCAAGAATCACATTGGGTTCAAAGCACAGAAGATCCAGGTGCTGGGCAATGTAGGAAAAATCGGGATGAAATAGGAAATCCTTTGCTATCATTTCAAGGGAGGTGCTTGAAAAGTCTTGACACGGCAGCACCTGCTTACATTTTCCGAGATAAGTACCCGGCAGTTTCTTTGGCAGTGGCATGCATTTCGGGCAGTATAGCTTAATGCGATCTTGAACTTTAAAGACACTTAAAGTACCCGACTGTGAGCAGAGCAATAGTCGAATAACTTGAGCACGTCCACTGCGATTACTAATGGTGGGCAGAGCTTTTATTAGTTGCTCCGGCTTAATAAAACCCGATATGTACAACTGGGGAAGGTTGTTACACAATATCCCCTGTGTCTCCTCGGATTGCATTAGACTCATGTACTGCTGGGCATAGAAGCCTTGCATTTGGGTGTGCACACTAGAAGGTGTCTCCAAGCGAATGGCGCAAAGTTCGGACAGCTTCATATGTCGCTGAAGAATGGCCAGTAGCTGGTGTTGCGTTTGAGTCTTTAGAAAGTGCCGGATAAAGGTGATTTGCATCAGAAGGGAGCAGATTTCCAAGTATATGTTCCTTTTATCAGAGGCGCAACTTGATTCCAACTCAACCAACTGCATTGAAAGGTTATTCCAGTTGGTATCCGCAACCTTTATGATTTCACACTGCAGCGGTAACATGGCCAGAACTGAGAAATCGATGTGGCCTTCGTGTTCAGCTATTTTATGCTGACTCTGTGATAGAACGAGTTGCTCCAACTGCCTAAAGCCACGTAAAATAGCAATCATTTTCTGCCAATCCTTCGACAATACCTCCTCCTTCTGGAGGATTTGAACGAGGCTTTGCGTAAGCACTTGCACCACTTCTGAACGCATCTCAGCCTGTTTCAGGCCCATTAGCGCCAATATGGGCACTAAATGTTTGGGGTGGCAGTGCCAATGGCTTAACAAAAGCTGCTGCAAGTGCACAAGTTGCTCCAACGGCACAACCGAATGCTCTAGCTGGCCTTGAATATAGGAACTTAAGGTATCAAGCAGTGCATCGTCTAGTTCAATGGCTGTCGGCAAACTAAGTATCTCGTTCAGAAGCAGGTAGCCAAGATGGTGGGCTGGGCGAGCACGCATCTGCAAAACTTCCAGCAGTTGCTTGGTTAATATATTAAGCCGTTTTAACTCCTGGCGCGTCATGCAGCCCATCTCCAGCCATTTGACAACCGCAGACCACATGATTGCCGCTGCCTCCAGCGTTAAGTGGGCATAGTGTCCAACGTTTGGATTTGTTATCCAGCTGGTGGCCGATTGTGATCGTAGGACACTGTAACAGTAATTCAAGCTGGCCAGTTTTGTGTCCATGTCGCACTCTTTGAGGATTAGCAGGGCCTGATGAAGGCTGCTCGAGAAGATGTCGCCGTGCGTGGCGTATCCAATGTGATGGGCGTGCTGGAGGACCTCCAGCAGACTTTTGGCATACATGTCGGCTTGCTCAAGGGGCACCTCGATGTCCTCGATGGCGCAGTGCGGATCAAACTCTTGCAGGCATTCCACATCGCATCGGAATATCCTGACCGTTATGGTGGGTTTTTGCTCACACAATTGGCCGAAATCTATGGAACTCAGCTGCAGGTGCGTCTCCTCGATGGCCTCCACATAGGCCAGTACAAGGCGTTCATAAAGCTTGGGATGATTGGAACAGCAGGAGCTGAGTATTTTCCTTTGCAAATTGATGCACTCGCTGTAGCAGGAAAATAGTGTGTCATAAGTTTGGAGCCCAGTGCTGGTGGCTAATCTTACCTGCTGTCCGGAGACTCGCTGAGGCACTTGGCCAGCTTGTTGAGCAGCCACAGGAGGAACGTGTCCTGGAATTTGTTGTGCAGCTCCCGTACCAACGAACAGCTTATCAGGCTCGGCTCCTGGCACAGTATGTCTTCGATAACGCTGTACACCCCGGAAAAGTTGCTTACGTTCCGGTTCACGTGGTTGTAAAGCAACTTCCACATATCCTTTCGCTGGGTCGACATTTTCGCAAAGTTTATTTAAAACCCGCAAAAACGCGACCTTTGTTTACGAAAACCGGCATCCGCGGCTTTTGTGATTATCGATATGTTTGAGAAGTTCTCTTCTTGAATAATAGCCACATTCCAACTGCGCATTTTACATATATTACTCTTATAGCCTATTTAAAATTGAAATAATTTCAAATAAAGTATGCTTACATTTCTGCGTTATACATTTATAGACAATTTTGTTTTCCTCCCCAGAATTTAGAATTACATTAGATCATCAAAAATACGCAATATTTATAAGAACACATAAAATTAGAAAATACCAGAATATTGACTGAAGAGCTTGCAAAGTGTAAACGGCGCATAACCCGAGCAATTATGGGCGTCATTTTTTTGTTAACAATTTACGGTCACACTAAACATGCAGAATTAATCAAAATAAGAGAAATATTATTTTGTTATTGTAAATAAGTTTTTAAGAAAAAATGGAAGTGGAATACGATGACTCCGGTTGGCAGGGCCGTGCCAAAGGACAAACAAATCCGGAGGTAATTGAGTATACAGCATGTACGGCGTGGCAGGCAATCCCGGCATTTTGATGACGCTACTAGATAAACCATGAAAGATAGCCACTAAAGACTATGTTTTTCCATCCCAATAAAAGGAAATGCTTGAGGACAATCCGCAGAAGACGATACAGGAATGCCTGGAAAAGTTCCTAACACCGGACTACATCATGGAGCCGGGGATATTTACGCAGCTGAAGCGCTACTTCCAGTCGGGCGGATCTCCGGAGGAGGTTATATCTATGCTATCGGAGAACTACAAGGCGGTGGCCCAGATGGCAAACCTGCTTGCGGAGTGGCTAATCCTGGCGGGCGTCAAAGTGACCGAGGTGCAGGCGATGGTGGAGAACCATCTGAAGGAAATGATACTAAAGTCCTTCGATCCCAAGAAGGCGGACACCATCTTCACGGAGGAGGGTGAGACGCCCGACTGGCTGACCGAGATGATCGACCACTATACGTGGCGCTCGCTAATCTACCGACTGGCCGAAGAATATCCCGACTGTCTTATGCTCAACTTTACAATCAAGTTGATCTCGGACGCGGGCTTCCAGAGCGAGATCACTTCCATTTCGACAGCGGCACAGCAGATTGAGGTTTTCTCGCGGGTGCTGAAGACCTCGATCGTCAAGTTTCTGAACAATCCGGATGACGTGCATGGCGCCATTCAGGAGTGCGCCCGAATGGTCTGCCATGGCCAGCATACCTACGTCTATTCCCAGGTGCTCATCCAGGTCCTCAGCCAGGAGCAGAAGGGCGGATTCAACATGAAGCGTCTCTCCCAGGAAATTATTAAATACGCCTTGCAGAAGTAAGAAAAATACTGAAAATGTCCATATAGTTAGTCGTAACGAAAATCCAATTTTTCCTTGTTTGTTTAGCAATCAAAATGTGACGCCTATTACAATGGCGCTGAATGGTTCGGCGGTTTACCCGCAGGCATGTCAAGCCCTAACTTCCATGCTCACCCGCAATACACTAAATCCCGCCGACATCACCGTGCTGTATCGCAACTACTCCGGATCCGATCCACCGCCCATCGACTTGATACGCAACCCCCAGTTTCTGGAGCTGCTGGTAGACGCTCTCTTCCGTTCCGGCGTTAAGATTAATCCCGAACACAAGCCGAAGTATATGTTTCTGCTCGCCTACGCATCCGCGGTTATCGACCAGCCGGCCAAGAAGCGACCAATGACTGAGCGCATGCTGAACAAGGAGGAGCTAAAGAGCACCATTCAGGCTATCGAAAAGGCACATACCATCTGTAATGTGGACCAGGGATCCACCGAGCTAATCGCCGAATTGCAGACGCTGTACAATTGCATCAAGTAAGACGACCGATATATTCAAAAATGATTGGTTTCTCTAACATAAGGATCTTTTTTTGAATATAGATATCCCGTGGTGGGCGTTGGCGTCATTCGATGGATCGAAAACGTGGTCATGGAGCCTTCGTATTTTAAGCTTTCCACCGACAGCTGTCCCACGCACTTGGCGGTTCTCGATGAAGTGGCCGCTGTCCATCCCACCCTGCAGCAGCAGATCCTGTTCCTGCTCATCCGCTTGTTTGAGTCCAAGCAGGATGAGTTGGAGATTCTTGTTCAGCTGGAAATGAAGAAAATGATCCTGGACCGGATGGTTAACCTGCTGACACGCGGCTGCGTTGTACCCGTTCTCAGATACATAAAGCAGTGCTGCGCCATCGAGGACACGGACATTTCGCTAATCCGGTACTTTGTCACCGAGGTGCTGGAGACCATCACACATCCGTACTCGCCGGAGTTCGTGCAACTATTCCTGCCGATGGTGGAGAACGAGGAGATCACCGGCACAATGCGCGGCGAGGGCGACAACGATCCCGTGTCCGAGTTCATTGGTATGCTATTGGTAGTCCACTTGTTGCCACACCATCTGCTCACCAGCGTTTTTCATCTCTTTCAGTTCACTGCAAGGCGCATTACACGACTGTATAGATAGTGACAATAGAACATGCTTTACAGGCGACTTCTGTTCAAAGACCCCTAAAAAAGCCCAATTTTCGAGTAAATTTTTTAAAATACAAATTTGTTTAAGCAGAGTCTATCAGAGAGAAGTACGCAATTCTAAGTACAATATAAATTTAATTATAAACGTAAAATCTATACTGCCAAAATTTCACTAGGCTCTAAAAACCATTCTTACATTTTTTTACAATATTATGCTTAAAAGTCCCTTGCCTGTGCTATTTAATTTTTTTAACATTTCTTAAACGCATTTAATTTAACATTTGAAACTAACACACCTACATTGTTCTGCTTTCAAAACAAAAAACAATATTTTCGAATCCATAGAAAAATTGTATGGATCCTAGAAAAAATTTATTGTATAAACATATAGTTGTTAAGGACAAACATAATAAAGCAACTGATATGATACGTTATAACATAATATATTGCAGAATAAAAATGTGACAATAACGTAGGCACCAGGATAAACCATTTTGGAGGTTTTTTTCGTTGGGAAAAAACCGCATTTCTAAATGTAATTAAAGATCTAAGATAACTCAGATTATCTGAGTTTCCTTTTAAAAACAAGTATGGAGCATTCGAAGATGTGCGATACGATATTTCTGGTATAGCCATCGTCGAATCCCATTTTGATGTACAAGATACCAAGAAAATCAACCAAAATCGTAGTTTAATTTTATTGCAAACAATAAACATTCACACCTCATACAATTGCCTTAAATTCAGCTTGAATACGTGTTCACAATCTTGAAGCAATGATCTATCATTCAGTTTTTGAATGGGTCTTCGGCAAAAAAAAAAAACTCTTAGAATGTATACACAAAAAAAGGATGCAATGGAAACGACTTCAATATTTACACATTTCGTTCGTTGAGCACGCGCTTTTGCAGCAAAAGTCACAAGACTCGACGTGCTCCTGTCTAAAATCATTATTGGCTGTCGTCTTAGTTGTAGATAAGCTGTATGGGCCACATTTAAAGCGCTTAAGTATGGCATCTTAATAAGTCTGTGGTTTCTGCAGCTGCTTTTTCACAAAATAAAACAAAAAAACCTACCAATCGTAAAATAATAAAATTTTTCGAGGGCTTATACTCGGCGTGAAGTCGGAGTCGAGGAACAGCTGGCACACCCAACCAAGTGCTGATCCTCAAGAGCAAACTTTCACGCCTCACAAAAAATGTCTTTGGCTTGCGCTTCTGAATCGAATCACATGGGAAGATCTCGTTCGTTATGTATAAATTGCTAATTATGTATAAATTGTGTGCGGTTTAGGCGTTAGCTTTGGTTGGCAGCGTTAAGAACTATTTGTCGTAGGAAGGGCTGACTACAAATAGCTTAGTTGCTCTTCTTAACATCTTTGCTATCGCCGTCCTTGGCCTGCCCGCGGCCCAGGATCTTGGCCAGGCTGTCCCAAATGCCGCCGAAAAAGATGGCACAGCAAAGGTTCTCCAGCGGCAGGAAGGGATCGTGGATGCCCAGCAGGATGGAAGACAGCTTAAAGTACACCAGGAATATGACGATGCCAAAGTAAACGAGTGCATGTGGTGCTGAGATCCAGTCGGTCTTCTTGTCCAGCACAAAGATGATCGAGGCCAGCAGGGAAGCCTTGGTGTAGCTGTGTTACAGGATGCAGAAACGGTCCAGGTTACAAAAACGAAAAAAAGACACTCAAAAAAGGCAACTAAAGTACTCACAAGGTGGGCTGCATAAATTCCATGGCCGTTGGAGTCCATGCTCCACGGATGAGTCGCTCGATCAGCTTGGTGAATCCCGCTCCGTTGCCCTTCAGGGTGCCGATGATGATCATGATTATCCAGGCATTCGGATACAGCTTGGCCGCATGTCCCACTCCATCGTACACCTTTTTTGCCCGGTAGATCTCCTTCATGGCACTGGCAACGATCTTAACGGGCAGGAACTTGGCCACCTTGTAACCGATGTCAAATGGCGTGTAGAAGACGACGTACCTGCGAGGCATTTCATTTCGATTTTGAATGACCAATCATAGAATCAACTTACCACACAGCTGTGCCCACGAGCAACTGTCCCGTGTTCTTCAGGGGAGCCAATATCGGCTCGCCCAGCAGTCCGTTGGCCACCATACCGCCGGCGAAGATCACCAGCATGGTGGAGAGCCAGCAGGCGAGCGGATGCTTCCGCGAAAACGCCTGGGCATTGGCTCCCAAGTCCTCACGCACGGCCAGCGCGGCAAGTAGACTGTGAGCGATGTCGAAGAACGGAAACATTTTCAGCTTGATGACCTGGTTGGCCACGTCCAAAAATGCTTCCGGGTCCATGATCACAGCCGATCTTGTGTCCTGCCTTCACGGATGATAATCTAGAAGCGGCAGTTCAAACTTTTCAATAAAAATATTCAAAAGTATTTCAAAAACTTGCAAAGCCATTACGTTTCAAAACACCTGGATTTTTTCACACCTCATTATATTCATAAAATCAATTTAGCTTTCTTTAATAATCAATAGAATTATTTTGTGTAAATAAATGCTGTTCCCCAAAAGCTAAGAAAGCACTCGCACCTATGTATGCCTCGTAAAACGTTACATAACTGAAAAGTAGGAACTCGTGCTTCAATATTTTCGAAAATTGTCTGTAATTGTGCGGATAATAGCCGCGAAATACCAATGAGTTTGTGGTCATAACAGGTTCCCAATTCCCTCAACTAGTGTTTCCTTACATTCCCAAGAATATCGACGTATTGGCGGGCTGTATTTCAAATGCACTTCAAGCGGTTTTCGAACTGCAGCAATCGGTGCACGGATGCAGAGGATGCGTTGTAGAAGTTGTCAGATTGTGTGTTCATGCAGACGAAACATAGAAAAAATTCGAATAAAAATTGCGCTGTTTTTGCCGCACCTCCAAAAATAAATTTCACCATGAGGGCTGTTAAAAGAAGCGCGCCGGGTCGGGCCCGACATATAAGTACATATATACAAACGTACGATTGTTTATATCGACAATGGGGGCCAAGATAATAGCACACCTAGGATCTTGCATTGTGGGTTTCCTAGGATTTCAACACATTTCATACTTGACCACGAGATAATCAGGAGTATTTGTTTCTGAAAAGAGGCGTTTTTGATTTGCTCACTAGCAATAACTCAAAACTAGTCGGTTGTGAAAGATAAAATAATGAAATAATAGATAATCACTATCTTGAAATTGAGTAATTGGCACTTGGGAGAAAGTTTCCATCTTGAAAGCCTTGTCGAATCATAAAACGTTCTATACTTCAAGGGATATACACCTGCTTCTAATCCACATATAGAGTTTTCGTTTAGAAAATAAACTAAGTACCATTTTATACACATACCGACTAGTAGCACCTAATCTTATCTAATCGTACCAAACTTAAAAGTAGTCCAACGACTAGTCAAGCGAAATATTGCAAACTCTGCGAAGGCCAATGACCGAAGTTTCAGCTTGTAATGTCTGGCAGTTGGCAAATATTTATGTACATGTGTATGGGATGAGTCTCGTTAGAAGTGCTAATATTTTAGCCACAGCTGTGTTTATTATGTACATATACTATATATTGCCTGCCTCCTGGCTATTTTTGAGCGGCGTAAGTTGGAAGAGATTTGTCGGCGGTAGACACATAATGTATGTACAAGATGGTAAAAATCTATATCTGAATAGATGGCTCGTTTAGGCGAGTGGAGTTATCTGCGACTCTTACAATCCAGGCACACACGCGGTGAGAAAAAATGCAAAAAAATTTGTAATAAATAAACGAATTAAGCTGGAAATTACCTACGTCTAACACGCGAGCAAACGGATAATGGATAGCAGAGTGCAGCACGAACACTGGGAGACTGGGCCAGATATTATACTATATTGTATGGGGCCTGCTCTCGAGAACCTGATATATTATTAGAATGCCCGACATTCTAGAGAACCGAAACTCTCGCGAGCAGAGTGCCATTATCGAAATCTGACGGCTCTTTCAAATTCAACGGAAATTGATTGCCCGCACTATGTTGCACTTATTTTCCCACCGATTTACAGACTGAGTGAACATAAAATGAGATTAACTCCTGTGGGTTATGCTGATAATTTGGGGTTTTTATTGGGATACTACTGTTTACGCTGGCAGGCTGCTTACATAAATAATTTGATTGCGGCTAAACGTAAACAAACAGATAAAAGCTCCGCGAAGCTAAACAATTTGTGTCGAGTGTGACCGTTCGCGTTTATAAATCTTATCAAAGGCCACTCAAAAATACTTCCCATCCACCACTTTTAATTTTGTGTTGATATCTTATTATTGTTAATGCAATAATTAAAATGTTGTATTACCTGATACTTTGGCATATCAAATCCATAATAAGACTAGTTTAAAATGTGCTACTTTTCAGCTTATGAAAGTGATCGATGTGTAGGGCTCACAGCTGAATAAATACAAATATAAATAATGCATTTAATGCATTTTACGCGGAAAAAGGCAAACACAACTATTGCTTGGCTTCGACTGCAATATCGATAGCTTACTGCCTGCGGTGCGAATAACGCATTTCACGATTACCGATAGAAAAAGAGAAAGCTATTAAGGGGAGCACTACAGTTTCCAACACTGGCACTTCGGAGTTTTGTTTATTCGATATATACATGAGATCGGGTCCTTAAACAAATGAAATAATGTAACGTGAAGTTTGTAATCATTATAATTTAATGACCCCCTTCCAATTGCTGCATTTAGTTCCCGTGATATAAACATAACAAACGCAACGTTCAAAGAAATTCGGTGACTTTCTAACTGTGAATCTCAAACCACATCATACATATATGTATATGTACATATATTGAAGCCCCCATACGATACGTATGTATGTACTTGGCTTACACAAATGCTCTATTTGCACAAAACCTTGTGATATTGAGGTCAATATCTGAGGAGAAAAGGTGAGCTCATTCTAAGTTTTGTTGTAATATTAAGCAAATAGGCTAATTTCTGTTTAAACCACTAACATAACTTCGTTATTGTGCTTCTGCTACTTATTTGTCACCCAAAAATAGTATGTATGTGTGTGCAAGTAAATTTATGTGTGGTTATATATGTTTATAGCAGAGTAAATGTGCGTGGTGTTGTGAATCTCGACTTTTGTACACATGTATGTGTTTATTTGGTAAACCGCTTTTTTAAATTTTATTCACGTCTTCGCGATTCGCGTCGTACGATGTATGTACATACATACAGACACATAACGTAATCCAAGAAACAAATTCCAATTGGGAAAATACCTTTTCAAGCGTTTGTGGACACTTTGTTTTGCTGTACAATATCTTCATTCATACCGCCAATTTGTTAATAAATTGAAGTAAACAGTTATTTTTTGTAAGTAGTAAACAAACATTGTCGACACAATGATAAATATTTACTTCTTCAATGTTATACTGTGTTCA